ACATCTCGTATCCTAAAGACTAATGTGGCACTCCATTATAACCCGAGTGCTTATAGAGTACCGAGACAAGTCAACCTGCATATGTTTACAAACATTAATACGTACGGCAATATAATACGACCAGTGTAAATGTTATAACGCTTTTGACAGTCAAAATCATGTTACCTAAACCAGGTATAAGAGAATGCTGGGAATCGCAGGATTACATCTCCCTGAAATGAATTCAACTTTGGCAATGCAACCTACGGTGGCTGATTTGTGCCATTTCGTTGTTTCGTCTTTTCGCAACGAAATGGCACAAATCAGCCACCGTACAAACAGTTTCTCGAGATCAGCTATTAATGCTACTATTTGTAGAATCTCGACGCATAACATCTTCCAGTGGGCGTTAAGACTTCCTGTTGAATGTTACTTAAACTTCTCTTCTCTGAAACTGTATTGTTCATGTAGTTTATCATATACCTCCATTACGAATACAAACCCTGGATGATAGTATGTTCACAAAAACCGTATACGGTAGTCAACAAATAAAGATATGAATATTGATAAATGTTTACTGAATCCGATGGTGTATACATACGTGTACGCGTCAATGAGGCAAGAGCTCAAGAGAGCAGGCTGTTCACTCGTGAGTTACAATGTATTCAAAGTCAATGAGGCAAGATTTCAAGAGATCGTAGCTGTTCACTCGTGAGTTAAAATGTATTCTCAGACAATGAGTAAGGGGATCGAAATTATTAACCCGCAAGTTAAAATAATATACAGACAATGAGGCAAGAGTTCACGAGATCGGGCTGTTCCTTCGTGAGTTTAAACGTGTACACCAGTCGATGAGGTATAATAGATTGTAGTTTTTTACTCATCAGTCAAAATGTATTAACAGACAAATGAGTCAAAGAGTGTTGCTCTCTACTTATATTACTTGTCAGTTAAAATGTTTACAAAGACGGACATCGAGGTAAGAGATCGTTGCTCTCTACCTTTCCCAAGGTGATTGAGTATATGCATGTATTCAACACTGATGATAGTACCATACATATTTAGTTGTTATGATGACACTGAACCATTCGTTCGTTCTGGGTTTTGCGTCGTCAGATCCGGTCACATATGTCTTGTCCATTAAACTTGTTTTTACTGTAGGCAGGCAGATGTCAGTAAGTGGTTTTTTTCTATAAGTATAATTTTACATATATCTTATATCAGACTTTATAATGTGTTACAAGAGAATCTACAACAGATCATGGTACGCCAGAACTCCCAACCTTTCCACATGTTACCTTAATGAAAACCAGGAAAAACAGCTCATTATGCATTGAATTGATAAAAATATACCTGATATCTGACCGTCTGTCATTCCCTTGAAATTTCAAGACGAATGTCCATTTAATGTACCTCCGAAAGATATATCCGATTGTGATGATGTATCCAGGATTGGTATCAACAGTGTCGAGACCCCATGTAGTGAAGAGTAAACCTGAACAAGGCTTATCAAAGTTCTCTAAAAAGATCGATCTGCACATTTCTTAAACACATATATAAAGCAGGAGCGTTTTTTTGAGATATAGTCACAATAAAAGGAAATGCGAATGCCCTTTTTCTGTATTATATTGCATGTTACCCAATGAAACCTCATTTTGATATGAAACGTTTCATCGGAACGATCGGTACATAGTGCCTCCAACATATCGATCATATTGTGTATTCTGTTGTTGTCGTACCTCCGTGGTTCCTTTTCGTCTTTTTTTTAATATTGACATAGGTTTTGTTTCAATAGTTTCTTCGCATTGTCAACATATCCAGACAACACAGTAATGTTACAATCTTAAGTGAAATTACAACCGTACAGACCTAGATTTGTACAGTCGAACATACCCAGACTTGTACAGACCGTACAGACCTAGACTTGTACAGACCGTACAGTCCTAGACTTGCACAGACCGTACATACCTAGACTTGTACAGACCGTACACCTAGACTTGTACAGACCGTACAGACCTAGACTTGCACAGACCGTACATACCTATACTTGTACAGACGTAAATACCTAGACTTGAACAGACCTGGACTTGTACAGCCGTACATACATAGACGTGTACAGGCCGTACATACCTAGACTTGTACAGCCGTACATACCTAGACTTGCACAGACCGTACATACCTAGAGTTGAACAGACCTGGACTTGTACAGCCGTACATACATAGACTTGTACAGACCGTACATACCTAGACTTGCACAGACCGTACATACCTAGACTTGCACAGACCGTACATACCTAGACTTGAACAGACCAGGACTTGTACAGCCGTACATATATAGACTTGTACAGACCGTACATACCTAGACTTGCACAGACCGTACATACCTAGACTTGTACATACCGTACATACCTAGACTTGAACAGATTGTACATACATAGACTTGTACAGCCGTACATACCTAGACTTGTACAGACCGTACACCTAGACTTGTTCAGACCGTACAGACCTAGACTTGTACAGCCGTACATACCTAGACTTGTACAGACCGTACACCTAGACTTGTACAGCCGTACATACCTAGACTTGTACAGACCGTACATATACATAGACTTGTACAGACCGTACATCTAGACTTGTTCAGACCGTACATACCTAGACTTGTACAGCCGTACATACCTAGACTTGTACAGACCTAGACTTGTACAGACCGTACATATACATATACTTGTATAGACCGTACACCTAGACTTGTACAGACCTAGACTTGTACAGACCGTACAAACCTAGACTTGTACGAAGAAGACAGAAAAATTAACACGGTTTAATAAAATGCAAGTTTTATTTTCAACGAATCATTATCAAATGACGGAATCCATATATACATATTATGTATTATAAGTATTCAACAACTGAAATAATCAAGGCCAAATTAACTCTGAATTATGTCTCAATGGTTCAAAACGGGATAATGGTATCGATTTATTTCAATTGAATTCAAACAAAGAAATGGGTAATTTCTAAATAATACAGTATTACACACATAAATTATCAACTTAATAGAAATATGGCAGTGCATCGATCGTACTTTGATGTGATGGTTTCTGGTCTTGCCAGATATAAACAGATTAATGAAAAAAAGGTATCTGCAGTAAGATAATCATGAGAGGGTATTCTTTTAGTTAATTAAACAGATCGACAAGTGATACGGAATGAGATCAACTAACCTGGACTACTTATAATTATAAACGTATAAGTTCCGAATAAACAAGAAAGCAGGGTAAAATAAATTATCATTTATAAAAGTATGATACGTCAAATAAAAATTACTTTTCACGCAAAGTCTACGTATTTATTGCCAGAGACATACTGGAACAACAATAATATACAACAAAGAGTAACAATAACAAGACAATAAACTCCAAATCCCCTCGTGATGTAGGGACAGGTATCAAAGTGTCCCCCGCATTATACTAAATGTACACACATTGAGATACAATCTTCACAGTAGACATAAAGGGACATAAAGGGACATCAAGTATTGGCATTGAACTGCGTGTTTAAAACGAAAAACAGTTAAAAGTTTTCTTCAAAATTGGGTATATGTTTTGGTTGTGAAGTCGTTCTAGTCTTAACAATCCTTTAAGTAGGACAATGAGATAACGAAATGTTGCAAAAGCCATAAAACTGTGCGAGTCGTCCATCTGTGTTGAGAGCTCAGGTGGTAAATATAATATGCTATAAAACTGCTAACGATGAATTCATTGAAGATTTCTAGTACACTAAAGACAGATGCCATATAACTATAGAAACCGTACTCCGGTAATCTAATAACGAGCTCAACATGGTTTCAAACAATATGGAATGTGATGTATGCAATCTATATAACAATAATTAAATGAAAATACCGGTTGATCCAGATAAAAAATTATGAGTTAAACATATCTAATACATTTAAAGCAACTATATAGTATACGCCTTATTCGTAGTTATTCATTATATAAGATGTTACCAAGATTTTCCTGTAACCACACACGATCATACACATCAAAAGTGGCCAATAAATATGATATATTTGAACAGGAAGGCCTGCACTGGTTTAACCCTTGATTTATCTGTATTTTATCTGAAGAGAAGCCAACGCAATGCACTAATCAAACACAACAAGACTTAAAAAGCTAAACCTTCTGATGTAGGACTCAGCTTATCTTGGACTCTATGTAAAAGGTACCAACACAGTTATGCGAGTATTATAATGATTTGACCTAATAAATGAAATACCGCCGTTATACCACGTCTGATCAATAACCTTTCTTTCTGCCGCATATACAGAACACGATCCCACATTGCATAAAGTATTTTACTCCCAGATGTTCCATCAATACATCTTGGCAGTGTATATCTTTGGGACCGAATCGTTATGTCGGAAATTATACTCACAAATATTGTTCTAGTTTTCATTTCCAACCTATGAGCCAAGTCTCCTCGAAGATTTCATATCGATTAAAACAATATTTCGTCCCTCGGTGACTTTATACATGACGTAATCTAGTGTGTCAAGTTAGCAGTTACGCTATAACTACAGACGTCTAGTGTCAGTTTCATTTGAAAGGTAACCGAAACAAGGCTGTTATTCTGAATCAATGTACTGAACTTTATTTAGCATTGCACTCTAAGTGGTACACACTACATTCTAATGTATGGTTTGGTTTGGTTGTACAGGGTTTAACGCCCTATCAACAGCTAAGGTCATTTAAGGACGTGCCTCCGTGTGTGATGTGTATGTATGCATGTATGTACATATATGGCGGAGATAGGGTATGCTGGTGTATTTAGCGCGGTTCTGATGCCGACTTTATAGTGCTATTTCACTGAAATACCATGCCGAAGCATTCCGCCCGGTCATATTATACTTACAACGGGTGAACCAGTTGTTGCCATTCCCCTTAATGTTGAACGTTAAGACGGGAAATAACAACTACCATTTATATTGACTTTGGTATGTCCCGGCCTGGGGACAGAACCCATTGCCTTTCTTACCTGGACAATGTAGGATATTTGTTTTGATTTCGGAAATATAGTAAAACAATTAAATGACATGTGACTGAACATTCAACATCGTGACCTTCACCTTGCCAACTAGTACTGGAGCAAGAGGTCCAAAAACTGAACGTTGCACACCTATATCTTGTTTGTGTATTAGGCAATTTTTGTTTGTTTATCAAGAGGTCATAGTGCGGGCAACTAACGGATTAAGAAATAGATTAATAAAAGAAGTAAACGCATTACAGTAATGTATAGGAAAACAAAAAAGTTAAACTACATACAATGTAAAATAAATTTAACATTACACTTGGAATTTACCTGATAAAACACCTTGAAATCAGATACACTAAACTTGTTCCATTCTCACGATAATAACGTATTTTACAATTGAATGTTCGGCATAGGACATCCTAACCTTTTATTTAAGTTACAGCTCTATCATCCTAAAACATCAACATGGAGTCTGTTAAGTGCTACTGATTGTTGAAATATGTATGAACGCCTCGCCAAGTTTACATTGATACGTGACAGCATGCAACACTCTTCATTCCAAATAGAAACAAACAAACGTCTATACGACAGAGACAACCCTTGTTTCCAATGCATACTCTCTAGCTCTGTCAATAATTCAAGTGACGACTTTTTTCTTCTCAGATTACAGAAAACGTAGTCAGTCTGGCAGATGTTATTGTAGTATATGGACGTCATTTCAATCAATTCAATTGAAAAGGCACACACAATAAAAAACATAACTGCATATTCTAAATGATAGAATAATCTGCAAACAAATCAATAAAAAACCCACCAATGAACATGTATCCTACATGACGAATCGGATAGAAACAAATTAGGAAAATCTCTCCACATTATTTTAGTTTAATTTGAAGTTCAATTATCAAAGTTCATGCGGCAAAACAGCGAGATTCAGCATAAATACAACAAGTACATCATACGTACAGGGAAACCAAACGTTTCAAAGCTTTGCTTGGCACAAATCTTCGCTGATTATATGTGTATACATCATACGTACAGGGCGAAACGTTTCCATATTAATAGGTTACGTAATATTCCAACAGGGTATTTACACAAACACATGAATATGCATATCTGTTGTAAAAAATACAACCGCTCGTCTAGCTTAAAATGAAATAGAGGGAAATAAAATACTACAATTCGTTTTCAGATTCAGGAAATATGTATAAATAACTTTTAAAAAGCAATAGGAACAAATGTAAATGAAATGAGCTATCAATAACACAAAAAACAACAACAGCTTATTGTATAATCAGAATACGTTAGGTCTCTAGATCTACTTCCATAAATATATTCTGTCTGGTGGTGTAACAAGGATTACATAACATCTTTCGTTCATGGTTACGTAACACTGTACCAAAGCTGTTTATTATACATTACAATTGCTAACGTTATTTCGAACGCCTCAATAAACACCATGTTCCCGCAGTCTATGATGAAACAACAGTCTGCATAGCAAACGGTGTATAAAAAGCTGGACTCGGTGGTAGTTAATGCCATTATCATAATGACACAATAAAGAAAGTATGATACAGAATCAAAATATCAGTTATCATCAGTACAATGGGAAGCTGTGCACTAAATATAGTGTACGACCCACTCTCGACTAGCTATAGGGTACGACACACTTTCACATCTGACGTTTTAGAACATAAACATTAAAAAGCAAGGAATATTTCGACCTGATAATAAGTTTAACATTTCAGTGGAAATTGAAAGTATATGTCCTTTTTAGTCTAGTCATAGTGAAGAACAAACCTTCAGCCTTCGATGTAGCAGAACATGAAGTTTGATGAACTTGTACGAAAACTTGAAGAAACTATATTGCCTGGAAAGGAACATATAGATTACTGTTACCTAGTTTTAGTGCTCAACACCTCCTTTTACAAACGGGGCATACAAATAAATATGTTCTAGGATAAAATAAAGAGCTCTAGAATAAAATTCCTTACATAAAAACTTCAGGCTTGATGCAAATGGGTCCTGATGATAATTTATCTCATATCTAAAAAAAATGTAGGCATGCCCAATGCATCAAAAATCAAACATACACAAATGTAGTTTATGAAAACTAAAACTAAACTTAAGCGATGAACAAGTGGTAACTACCTAGTTCGTCCCGCAACTTTGGCTTTCAAACCCAAGGTTATTCGCAAAAATCCAGATTAATTCAGAGCACTGTAATATATCACGATCACTTATAAAACATATCACCACATCATGGCTGATATAGACTGTGGCATTTGGATTTCTTACTATAGTCCCATGTTCTTGTGATTACAATTACCCGGGCACCACAAGGCAGGTGTGTAAAATGTCTCCTGCTACACTACAGTCTCAATTTCTGTAATAATAAGATTTAAAAACGTTCTGGGTACTTCTTCTTGTAGTTCTTCGGTCAGTGGCTCCGCCTCGTCCGTAAACGTTTCCGGTCCATCTGAGATACTGATACACGTATTTTGTGGTTTCTTCTCGCGACACCTCCAGATGATCCGCTTCATATATTTACTAACAGGTATCACAAGAAGGGCTAATCCCGATGCTGCGATAAAAAATCCGCCAGCGTAAAACGTGTGGTCATAACTCCCGGAGTCATCATATAATTTTCCTACAACATGATGAAAATTGAATATTATTTTTTTCACGAGATTCAGAAGTTAGTTTAATAGAAAAAATATGTCCCGTTATAATCACAAATATTTCGCGAAACAGACAAGTAAGGCTGTGTCAACGACTGATTAATAGTTCGCTTACCTGCAACTGGTGGACCAACTAAATTGGCTATCCCTTGTAACAGCATAGTCAATCCGTAAGCATTCGTCAGCTTATCCATTCCTAAGTATTGCACTAACATCACTGAGCTCAGCACGTAATTAGCACTAACGAAAATTCCATAACATGCAGCCAATATGCACAGAACAGTTTGATCTATGAAGAGCGGCACCAAGGCCACACTTGTCCCAGCAACAGCGAGGGAGATCCCATACAACAGCTCTAAATGTATGTCACGATCTCCTACTATTCCATAAAGAATTTGTCCGAATGTGTTGGCAATTCCTAGAGATGATATTATCAAAGAACTCTTATCCTCCGATATGCCGAATTCCTTGGCTCTATCAACAATGAAAACATATGGTACGTCATACCAAAAATAAAGCATAAAATTAGACAACAAAAACACAATAAAAAGAGGATTTCTTAAAACGGCAAGGTCAAACATTGCTTTGAAAACTTTGATCATGTGAATCGGGATCTTCAACAGGTTGTTTACTCGACAAATGTCTCCTCCATCTGAACTTTCCTCGTCCATAGATCCTAGATGGAGCTCTGGACAACTACACGACCGTATTTCAAAGTGAGGCAGTTTCATTAGGTTTCCTCTATAGAATAGATCTTTTCTGTAAAGTGGATAATATTGAAATGCTTGTCGTTTTCTCCTTTGATTATCTCTCTTCCATACGCTCCCATTATCCATAAGAGATATCTTCGGTTCTCCGATGTAGCCGGTATCATCATTCAGTAAATGACCATTCTCTCTGCTACTATTGTTGATAACGGTTTTGTTTAAAGAGGGGCTGGTCACATTGTTCATTGAAGAACTACATGTAACAGCGTTTTGATGACTTGTTCGAAGAACATGCTGCCAGTTTTTGCCAGTTTTGGTAACTTCAACAACCAAATTCTCTGGTGCATGTTTAAGTTCATTTTGGATGTAAGTTGGTAGCTGAACTTGTGAGTAGCTCATATGTTCCAGGTCTGGTGTGTCTGAATCAGAATCCACATCATCCGTGTGACTGGTGTGTCTGCTGCGAGGATAGTCAGACAGACTCGTTTTCGATATGGATCGTGAAACAGTCTTTGATAATTTTTCAAATGCCTCCAGTTTTCTTTTCCATTGTTCTTGTGGTGAAAATTTCAAAGGCCGCAGTAGAAAACCACACACGACCAAGTTCAATGTAACACCACTTAGAATAAGGAACGATCCTCTCCACGTGTAATGTTCAATCAGATATTCAATAAGCGGTGCAAACAGAAATGTTCCTAATCCTGAGCCACAGACAGCTAATCCGGTCGCCAAAGCTCTCTTCTTCTCGAAATAGAACGCTACCATTACGATAGACGTAACATATCCAACTGACAATCCGAAGCCTGCTATAATACCAAGTGTAACACATAACATTGCAACGGAATTCGCAAACGTACTTGCAAAAACACCAATAAAAGCAATAAGTCCACCAACAACCTGCACTTTCCGACAGCCATACTTTGTTGCTAAAGCACTGGATATCGGTCCACAGATCAGAGGTACTCCGTAGAACAAAGAGGCAATCCATGACGTGTAACTTTTGCTTTCCTGAAAAACATCCAGCAATTCGGTAAAGAGTACTCCAAATGAAAAGGCGAACCCATCACTTATTAGCATTATCATGAAGGAGCTTAACACAATAACCCAGCCCCAGCCCCCATCGGGAGCAGGGGGCATGGAATACGCAGATGACGAAGAGTCCAGTGTATAATCACTGGAGGAAGACGAGGACGAAGAGGATATACTTTGAGATCGTTTTTTCTTTTTTCGTGAGCTGCTCTGGAGTTCTGCCATTTCTGGACAAGTGAGGTTTTGGTTTTTAAATTATTGCTGCTAAAGAACTCAGCCAAACTGATGGAAAATATAGATGAAAAGCACAATTTAGTCATTGGTCGGATCAGATATAATTTGCTTTCTACGCACAGTGTGAAGTCCCACGAATGGTTCGCCATGCAGCTGTTCCACGTTGGGAGAACTCTGAAATGGAGAGAGAAATTCAAGCCAATTAATCAACAATATTAAACAAAATATGTAAATATTAATAATACGATCAATCAATACACCATCAGCTTATAAAATACACTCCTACTGAATTTCCCTACGTTGGTTATACCTCGATTGTCTGTCAGGAGAAGGCTGCATACATGTAACACGTCTCTAAAACACAAAGGCCAAACACGCATGCTACAACTAGCATGTGTATTCGGCAAACTTTGGGGCAAATTATATTGTAGCCTGCATAATTAAGAGAGAAAGTATACTAAATGCTCAAGCATGTAGTGATTTTATACAGAGTCAGGCTGGCAAAGAACCTAAAAACTGTTTGAAGTATCCAAAACCAGTATTCTGGCAGCTAGGACGGAGTGACAGGAATCAATTGTGTGGGAAGGATGAATTAAATATATATTACTGTTCCAGATACCATTCCCAGACAATCTCGTCTACACGACATAAAGCTTGTGAGTATGTCGTAACATTGACAATCGTATTGTGAGTATGTCGTAACATTGACAATCGTATTGTGAGTATGTTGTAACATTGACAATCGTATTGTGAGTATGTCGTAACATTGACAATCGTATTGTAAGGTTGTCGTAACATTGACAATCGTATTGTGAGTATGTCGTTACATTGACAATCGTATTGTGAGTATGTCGTAACATTGACAATCGTATTGCGAGTATGTCGTAACAATGACAATCGTATTGTGAGTATGTCGTTACATTGACAATTGTATTGTGAGTATGTCGTAACATTGACAATCGTATTGTGAATATTTCGTAACATTGACAATCGTATTGTGAATATGTCGTAACAATGACAATCGTATTGTGAATATGTCGTAACATTGACAATCGTATTGTGAATATGTCGTAACATTGACAATTGTATTGTGAGTATGTCGTAACATTGACAATTGTACAGGACATGTTTCCGTTGGAAAGTAACAAAAAACCTAAATCAATATAGATATGAGGAAACAAATAAAGCTAACTGCAATGCGCAGTATACCAATTTGAGACAATTCAACATCACTTTATATTACCATTAATCACCTGCATGAAATACTTCAAATCGTATCATTTTTGACTTCATACTTTAGGAAATCATGATTAACTCGGCTACTGTAGCTGTCACCGAAAACCATGATCAATTCATAAAAAAACCACCATTCTTGTTCTGTGTAAAAACAATAGGTTGATTTTTCTGGGTCTGATTAATAAAATATCATTTTTCTTCTAGTCATATAATAAAAATCCAGTTCTATGAATCTTTAGCACAATAATTCTTCTGTCAGAGATTAATAGGAACAACTAATCAGAGAGAAGCAAACCAAACTTGTCTTTAAAAAAAGTCATATAAACAGCCAGACACAGACATCTTGTTAAAGTGATGTATGTTTACATGACGACTCTACTATCTACAACAAACAGCCAGACACAGACATCTTGTTAAAGTGACGTATGTTTATCACACGACTCTACTATCTATTATAAACAGACAGACACAGACATCTTGTTAAAGTGATGGATGTTCATCATGACGACTCTACTATCTACAATAAACAGCCAGACACAGACATCTTGATAAAGTGATGTATGTTTATCACACGACTCTACTATCTACAATAAACAGCCAGACACAGACATCTTGATAAAGTGATGTATGTTTATCATGACGACTCTACTATCTACAATAAACAGCTAGACACAGACATCTTGTTAAAGTGATGTATGTTCATCATGACGACTCTACTATCTACAATAAACAGCTAGACACAGACATCTTGTTAAAGTGATGTATGATTATCATGACGACTCTACTATCTACAATAACAGCTAGACACAGACATCTTGTTAAAGTCATGTATATTTATCACACGACTCTACTATCTACAATAAACAGCCAGACACAGACATCTTGTTAAAGTGACGTATGTTTATCACACGACTCTACTATCTACAATAAACAGCTAGACACAGACATCTTGTTAAAGTCATGTATATATATCACACGACTCTACTATCTACAATAAACAGCTAGACACAGACATCTTGTTAAAGTGATGTATGATTATCATGACGACTCGACTATCTACAATAACAGCTAGACACAGACATCTTGTTAAAGTGACGTATGTTTATCACACGACTCTACTATCTACAATAAACAGCCAGACACAGACATCTTGTTAAAGTGATGTATGTTTACATGACGACTCTACTATCTACAATAAACAGCCAGACACACCCATCTTGTTAAAGTGATGTATGTTTATCATGACGACTCTACTATCTACAATTAACAGCTAGACACAGACATCTTGTTAAAGTGACGTATGTTTATCACACGACTCTACTATCTACAATAAACAGCCAGACACAGACATCTTGTTAAAGTGATGTATGTTTATCATGACGACTCTACTATCTACAATAAACAGCTAGACACAGACATCTTGTTAAAGTGACGTATGTTTATCACACGACTCTACTATCTACAATAAACAGCCAGACACAGACATCTTGTTAAAGTGATGTATGTTTATCATGACGACTCTACTATCTACAATAAACAGCTAGACACAGACATCTTGTTAAAGTGACGTATGTTTATCACACGACTCTACTATCTACAATAAACAGCCAGACACAGACATCTTGTTAAAGTGATGTATGTTTATCATGACGACTCTACTATCTACAATAAACAGCTAGACACAGACATCTTGTTAAAGTGATGTATGTTTATCACACGACTCTACTATCTACAATAAACAGCCAGACACAGACATCTTGTTAAAGTGATGTATGTTTATCATGACGACTCTACTATCTACAATAAACAGCTAGACACAGACATCTTGTTAAAGTGATGTATGTTTATCACACGACTCTACTATCTACAATAAACAGCCAGACACAGACATCTTGTTAAAGTGATGTATGTTTATCATGACGACTCTACTATCTACAATAAACAGCTAGACACAGACATCTTGTTAAAGTGATGTATGTTTATCACACGACTCTACTATCTACAATAAACAGCCAGACACAGACATCTTGTTAAAGTGATGTATGTTTATCATGACGACTCTACTATCTACAATAAACAGCTAGACACAGACATCTTGTTAAAGTGATGTATGTTTATCACACGACTCTACTATCTACAATAAACAGCCAGACACAGACATCTTGTTAAAGTGATGTATGTTTATCATGACGACTCTACTATCTACAATAAACAGCTAGACACAGACATCTTGTTAAAGTGATGTATGTTTATCAGACGACTCTACTATCTACAATAAACAGCCAGACACAGACATCTTGTTAAAGTGATGTATGTTTATCACACGACTCTACTATCTACAATAAACAGCCAGACACAGACATCTTGTTAAAGTGATGTATGTTTATCACACGACTCTACTATCTACAATAAACAGCCAGACACAGACATCTTGTTAAAGTGATGTATGTTTATCACACGACTCTACTATCTACAATAAACAGCCAGACACAGACATCTTGTTAAAGTGATGTATGTTTATCACACGACTCTACTATCTACAATAAACAGCCAGACACAGACATCTTGTTAAAGTGATGTATGTTTATCACACGACTCTACTATCTACAATAAACAGCCAGACACAGACATCTTGTTAAAGTGATGTATGTTTATCACACGACTCTACTATCTACAATAAACAGCCAGACACAGACATCTTGTTAAAGTGATGTATGTTTATCACACGACTCTACTATCTACAATAAACAGCCAGACACAGACATCTTGTTAAAGTGATGTATGTTTATCACACGACTCTACTATCTACAATAAACAGCCAGACACAGACATCTTGTTAAAGTGATGTATGTTTATCAGACGACTCTACTATCTACAATAAACAGCCAGACACAGACATCTTGTTAAAGTGATGTATGTTTATCACACGACTCTACTATCTACAATAAACAGCCAGACACAGACATCTTGATAAAGTGATGTATGTTTATCACACGACTCTACTATCTACAATAAACAGCTAGACACAGACATCTTGATAAAGTGATGTATGTTTATCACACGACTCTACTATCTACAATAAACAGCTAGACACAGACATCTTGATAAAGTGATGTATGTTTATCACACGACTCTACTATCTACAATAAACAGCTAGACACAGACATCTTGATAAAGTGATGTATGTTTATCACACGACTCTACTATCTACAATAAACAGCTAGACACAGACATCTTGATAAAGTGATGTATGTTTATCACACGACTCTACTATCTACAATAAACAGCTAGACACAGACATCTTGTTAAAGTGATGTATGTTTATCATGACGACTCTACTATCTACAATAAACAGTTAGACACAGACATCTTGTTAAAGTGATGTATGTTTATCATGACGACTCTACTATCTACAATAAACAGCTAGACACAGACATTTTGTTACAGCGTAAGTTTAGGTTTGTCTCAGTCTAACACAGCCTGCAGTGTTAAACCCATGCAGCGTAAGTATAGGTTTGCCTCAGTCTAACACCGCATGTAGTGTTAAACCCATGCAGCATAAGTATAGGTTTGTCTCAGTCAAACACAGCATGTAGTGTTAAACCCATGCAGCGTAAGTTTAGGTTTGTCTCAGTCTAACACAGCCTGTTAGTGATAAACCCATGCAGCGTAAGTGTAGGTTTGTCTCAGTCTAACACAGCCTGTAGTGTTAAACCCATGCAGCGTAAGTATAGGTTAGCCTCAGTCTAACACAGTCTGTAATGTTAAACCAATGCAGCGAAAGTGTAGGTTAGCCTGATCAGTCTTACAATCTGTAGTGTTAAACCCATGCAGCCTAAGTATTGGTTTGCCCCAGTAAAACCAGTGATGTACAGCATTAGTTAACATATATATAGAGTGAGTGATTTTTAACTACATAATGTATATTTCATGATACA